ACTGTGTCAACTCTCAGACTGTGTCATCTCTCACACTGTGTCAACTCTCACACTGTGCCAACTCTCACACTGTGTCAACTCTCACACTGTGTCAACTCTCACACTGTGTCAACTCTCACACCGTGTCAGTTCTCACTTTTACCTAATTTCACCATGAAGGAAAAAACTGCGCTTTCTTTTTCTTTCTTTTCTTTCATGTTTTCCAACCTTCCTGCGACCCTCTCTTCATCCAGATAATCCTGGGCTCTCTCTGTACGGCTGACAGTGTCAGGATGGACCCGGCTTTTGTGGGTACTCCGTTTCGACAACCCACGTCTCTTCCACCTCCGTCCTTTGGTTAATCCCACAGAATAACACAGCTAACGATGTTTCCTGTGTGTTAGTGGGAGATGTTAAGTCCTCATGTAGATAGCACCTCCAGTTCTGGTTGTATGTTATGTTTATGTTGTGTGGTGGCGAGCCAGCGAGAAGCCTCAGTCAAATGGACAAAACTCCATTACCTTTGCCAAGTGCTAAATCAACCAACAGTCTGTTTGTTCAGGAAATCAGCAGGGCAACCTGGCCTCAGGCCGAGCACAGACAACATCAATTATTTTATCTGTTGTCTTCATCTGGTCTCTGTTGTCTTTATGTAATTTTTTCAGTCACCTGTTTTGACATTTATTTAGCTCATTTATTTTGTTATCCATTTCCCCTTATTTATTCCGTCATCTGTTTACAGTCTAATCTGCCAACTATTTCCGTCATGTTGGTAGATCTCATCTTTCTGACATAACGAATCCCAGATATCTAAATATAATTATTAATTTTTTCCTCCCTTTCTCCAATCTGCTATCCAACCTTTTGTTGCCTAGACCTATTTCTCATTACCTTCCTTCACTCTCTGGTTTCACCTTCAGCATCTCTCTCTTACACACCTTTCCAAACTCAGTCATCAGCATCCGCAACTCCTCTTCACAGGCTTTTGCAAGCACTGTGTCATCAGCAAAGAGCAACAGTGAAAACGCCCTGTTAATGTTTTTTTCTTTTCGTTTAATCTCATGCTCCTATATTCTAGTATACCCTTCGTTTAAAATCAGTCTATAAAGACATTAAATATCCATAGTGATATCAAAGCTCTGTACGTACAGTAAGTTCCCATTATTTTCTGGAAATTATTTCACTTCTTTCTCACTTATCTTATCCAGTGCTTGCCTTTCTTCGTGAAATTCTTTGCAGTATTTAACAACCTACACCCTATTACGTACAATATAAGAGCTTCCCTTAGAAACTAGCAATTAGAGGAGACGAATCTTATGACGTCGTTTCGGTCTTATTAGACTCTTTTGACTTGACAGTGGTCCAGGAGGGACCGAAACGCTGTTATAAAGTGAGAGTTTTTGGTAAACTATACCAGTTGCAGTATTATGACTTTCTATTCATTAGTACAAAAAAAAAATTGCTACATCGATTCTCTGTCCATCTTATCACCTGACTTTTCTGAATCTATGGTTACATAACATAGACAATCCGCTCTTGAAACTCTCGCAAAATTCCATCCATAAGAATTAAAATAATTCTTAACAACACTTCACGGCAGCATCTCCCATCCATCCCACAAATGCACCGACTCAGGATAAATTTGTAAGTCAATAAATCTCACTACGATCAATATTAAATCCTCTCATTAATGTAGCATGAATATTGCTCGAATTACTCGCTCTCGAATTTCGCGGCAAATGGATTGATCGGTGGATTAATATTGTTGATGGGTTATCTAGTCAGCTTAATGCAAACGACGATTAATGAGTTTAACGAGTGTTGTTAAATCTCGCTCGAGTGAAACATTAAACTTTTTTGGTCCAGTCCATGAAGTATTTTAAGATAGAAAAAAAGGGACACGTTGAAGACCTGATTTTCCCATCATTTTAATAAGATCATTTTTTTTTTGTCCTAATTTGAAAATGTGAAAATGTTTTATTGTGGTGCCATATATGAGTATATTCATAAAGTGAGAGTTTTATGAAAGATTTAAGTGTAATAAAGGCCTGTAAACTGCGACCATTTAAATAACTTTCACTGTCCAATTTTCCAATTAACTTTGTAAACTTTTCAAAAGCTACTGGAGACACATGCAAACATTAACAATGAAAAGTATATATATATATATATATATATATATATATATATAATATATATATATATATATATATATATATATATATTATATATATATATATATATATAATATATATATATATATTATATATATATATATATATATATATATATTATATATATATAATATCCAGCAAATTCAAGGTTATGAAGACTGGAGGAGTGGTCAAGAACACTGGAAACTGAGTATAGACTTGGACGGGGTTACAAAGGTTACAAACCTCACTAAAAGAGAAGGACCTAAGAGTGAGCATAGTGACGAACATATCGCCGCAGGCAATATGGAGCCTTCAGGTACCTCAAGAGTGTCATTTATGTGTATGTGTCTGTATACAACAAGCGTTAGTCCATCTTGGAGTGATACAGCTCTAGCATGGAACTACATTTGATAAAGCATGTTAAAAAACTGGAGAAAATACTGATGTATTCAACAAGACTAGTCCCAGAGGTATGGGGAATGAAATATGAGGTGAGAGTAAGTGAACTGAACCTGACAACGTCAGAGGATGGAAGGACCAGGGGAGACACGATAGCAACATAAATAATACTCAGAGCATTTGATAAGGTAGACTTTGATAAATTGTTCGAAAGGCAGAAAACGGGTACACGAGACACCGTTGGAAATTAAAGACAGGTGAATCCTGAAGATATCAGGAAGTACTTCTTCAGCCTCAGTGTGGTCAGGAAGTAGAGTGATGTAAACATCGTTATTAGAGCAGGTGTAACAGAGCCCACGATGCTAGGAAGGAGAGAATCCGGCAGGTTAAGAAGCAAGACCAGGGCCTGAGGCTCGACCCCTGGAACAACCAATATCTGGGAACACATAAAAGCACACACACCTCATAAGTCAGCAATATCATTCGAAGTCTCGCCTCTAACATACCATTCCGTGGTAATGACCAGCTCATTAACTCACACACAAGCAATCCCTGTGTTAAATGGCAACTTTAATCCCCTGGTCAATTAAAGTAACCTTGGCTGAACTCGCCTAACAAGAAGAGCAATGTAATAAATATCTTTACAATTAAATTAAAAGAGTGGAGGTAACGAAATGTGGTCAAGAATAAAATAAATATTAGAAATTCAGTTAATAAATAGTGTTCTGGCAAATAATGAAAATAAAAGAGAATATATTCTGAGATATTAACGGAATTTTGGATCCAAACACGAGACTAACAAAAGTGAGAGACACAGTTGTGAAAGTTTTAGTCGGTAACTTTAAAACATAAGAACATAAGAACATAAGAATGTAGGAACACTGCAGAAGGCCTACTGGCCCATACGAGGCAGGTCCTTATCAAAACGACATCTACCTAAAGCTACTCAAGAAATAACTCCCGTACCCCTTGACACCAATCAAACCCAGCCCCTCCCACATATATTTGTCCAGTTTCTTCTTAAAGCTACCCAAGGTCCTAACCTCTATCACCCCACCTCTTGTAAGTGACTGTGATGATTCTATAAGTTATACTTAGATACAAATATCTTAATTGTAACTTATTTTTTTTTAAATAACCCAGTGAAGT